TTTTGAAATAGGACGTGCACCTTGTGCCTCGCAGGAAGCCAGGGTGCCTTGAGAGAAGCCCTCAAAGATTTTCCAGTACAAATGGTCTTCAGATGGCTTGTAAAGTATAACAAAGTCCTTTATTATTGAACAGATCAAACATATACTTCTCAAGTCTTCAATAAAGTCAAACAAATGCTTCCAGGCTTTGAGGCAACTGGTGGCTTCCTTAATATTGTCCACAAGGGACAAAGAATTAGACTGTATTGTTAAGTTTGCCAAGGACCCCAGTGTCGACAATTATTTGAATACAGAAAAGGTTACATGGCTATTTAATGTACTGCATGCGTCTCACATTGGGGTGTGTGTGTGTGTGTGGGAACATATGATTGGTTTGTGTGGAAAGATTTTAAATGCTATGTTTTTAAAGTGTAAGAATTTGATTCATGATGTTTTGGTCACTTTGATGGCGAAAGTGACAGTTATTTTAAACAGCCGCCTGTAAGCTCACAACAGCCGTTCCCCGAAAAGACACAAGAGACCAGTCCGTAATCAATCAGGAACCTTTTACTGCTGGATACATATACACAATGAAAGCCAGGATTGGCATACAGACGCACGTCAGCCCTTTATATACCCTCCCCACATTCGAATCCCCTCTTCCCGCCGACCCAGGATCCCGCTCAATATTCCCCGCCAAACCACTAACTGCCCTTCCCAAGGCCACCAGCTGCAATTCCTTATCGGTTCTCCATGTCAGGAATCCGGTTTTTTGCGCCACCTTCCAAGGTCAGGAAACCGAGTCCTGACAGCCACCCATTGGTGCCCATCACCACAGACTCAGACATTCCACAGCTTCTCACTCCTGCATCCATTTTGACTCAAAAGACTTCTGAATGGCAGGAAATTATGTATCCTGTCCCGGAAGGATCTTACAAAGCACTCTGGAAACAAACTCAAACTCTTGCCAATCAGTTCTGGAGATGCTGGAAGGCAGAGTATCTGGCTCAACTTCAGAGTTGCAGGAAGTGGAAAGACTCTAAACCCAACATCAAAGTGGGAGACATTGTATTGCTCAGAGACAAATCCTTACCTCGTTTCAAGTGGCCTTTGGCCAAAGTTATAGAGACCTTGCCATGTCCAGATGGATTGGTAAGGAAGGTGAAACTAAGAGTGTGCCAAAATGGCAATGTTTCTGTTTTACACAGACCAATTTGTGATATTGTGTTGTTGTTGAATGGGTAATCAGTTCATTACCAAATTAGTTTGCTAATGTTATAGTGTAGATTTCTCATCATTGAGAAATCTAGGCCCGGAGTGTGCTGGTACATCTGTACCAGGAGCTCCAACTTCATTTTCTTTCTATTAAATGTTTGCATGCATTCCAAGGTTTCAGAGATTCTGCAAAAAGGTGGCTTCCTTTGGTTTGCAGTCATAGGGCAAGCCACCTGTCTATCATCGTTAAGTTTTGGTTCCGCCCCTTGTTCAGGGCAATGGGAAGGGAAGGGAGCCATTTTTAGTTAGTCTTAGTGAGGAAAGCTAAGTTAGAGGATGTGGACAAGCTTCACCTGCACAAAAGCTTCAACGCTTAAGAATACCAGGGAAAAAGATTTCCAGGGAAACAGAATTCCAGGGAATTCCAGAGACATTCCAGGTGAAACAGCCCCAAAGCTCTGGCAGAGAGCCCACAGCCTCTCAGCCTTACAGCATCTGAGGGAAACAGCCCTGAAGTCTCCAAGAAATACCGTAGGGAAACAGCTTTACAGACCAAAGAACTCCAGCTGGAGAATCTACTAACCTTTATTGGTAGGTCTACTTGGTGCTCAAGACACAGTTTGAATCTGGTAGTAGATCCCACATCAGTGAGGCTTAGATTATAATCAGCCTGGGAGAGGTTAAAAAAAGATTTTCCTCCAAAAGTAAAGGAACAGTTAATGAAGACAGTTGCCTGTCCCTTGTGGACAAGATTAAGGAAGCCACCAGTTGCCTCAAAGCCTTGAATCATTTGTTTGACTTATTGAAGACTTGAGAAGTATCTGTTTGATTGTTCAATAATAAAGGACTTTGTTATACTTTACAAGCCATCTAAAGACCATTTGTACTGGAAAATCCTTGAGAACCTCTCTTCGAGGCGCCCTGGCTTCCCGCTGGGCACAGAGTGCACGTCCTATTCAAAAGACAATTGTTACAGGCCCAGTGCATGACAGAACAGTCTTCTAATTCTATTTAATTTCCTAAGTAGCCAGTCCAAAATGTGCTTCACTCAGGATCACATCTTTTTCATTCAAGGAGGCATATTTGTCCTGTTCCTTTTCCAATCCCACGGTGTTTATACATGTTCCTTTTGGGGCAGATGCTGTTTGGAGGGGTGCCCAATGAGTTTCCCGAGATCAAGTTCCTGCGTTCCCCATTTGACATCAACTGTCGGCTGTCACCCTGCTGGAGCCTGAAGCAGGATATGGAAAGGTTCGCCTCACTAGGTAAGGATTCATAGGATCTATTCCAATCGAGCTTTGGAACAGACTTAAATTAAGTGGGCTGCATTTATGTTCCTCTACTCCAGGCACAGGCCAACTTCGGCCCTCCCTCCAGGTGTTTTGGTGGGCTGTTAGGAATTGTGGGAGTTGAAGTTGGGAGTTGAGGGCCAAAGTTTGCCTATGTTAGCTCGGCATGGTTTCCTCTGGTTTAAAAAGTCCAAAGTATCTATTTTTCCTCATTTTCCATGACCCTTAGAAGCATAGAAAATTAGTCTTCATTCTGGTTGGACAACTAAATTAAAAACAATTGACAATAATGTATGAAGAGTACAGAAAACAGCTCCTTAAAAGCCTCTTCTGCTGCTGCCACTCTGTTGCTCAAAGTCTCCATAAATAAATAGTGCATTTCCCTTCAGGAAGAATGACGACAAGAAGTGAACTCAGAGCGTCCGGCAGGAAAAGAAGAGAATCGAACACAAACTTCCATTCACCACACCCCAAATTTCTATTCATTCTTCCCCCAATTGTTATTACTTGCTGTGAGGACAGATTTGTCACATGAGGACATATCTAGACTGAAGAATTATATATAAAAATTTGATACAACTTTGTTGTGGAATGAAAATCACATGTAGTTCAAGTCTTTACCAATCTACACATTGTTTTGCTCGAGAAAAGATATGCCACACAGATGTTCAGCCTCTCAGGCGTGGCCCAACCAATCAGAAAATATTCTAACTTGTCTTGGCAAGCTCCTGCACAGAAAAGCTAAACATGTAACTGTTGACAAAACTCCCAGGCTCAGCTAACCTCTCAGGCATGACCCAACCAATCAGCTTGGTGCTTTGCATTTTTCAGTTAACAGTAAAGAATAAGTTGTTTACTCTTTGTTATGCAGAGCAACATATATATGGTCATGTGAACAGTTGCATTGACTCACACAATGTCCACTGAGAGAGATTCAAATGGTCCTTGAGTGTGCATGTGAAAGATCTTCTTCCAGCAGCCCAGAAGCAGAAAATATTCTAACTTGTCTTGGCAAGCTCCTGCACAGAAAAGCTAAACATGTAACCGTTGCCAAAACTCCCAGGCTCAGCTAGCCTCTCAGGCATGACCTAACTAGTCACAAAATATTCTAACTTGTCTTGGCAAGCTCCTGCACAGAAAACCTAAACATGTAACTGTTGCCAAGACTCCCAGACTCAACTAGCCTCTCGGGCGTTGCCCAACCAATCAGCTTGGTGCTTTGCATTTTTCAGTTAACACACTCACCAACTGATTTTTTTCATGTTCCAACGAACTCTTCAGACATCTCTCTCTATAAAAGCCAAAGGCCCCTTCCACACAGATGAATAAAATCCTAGGTGGCCAATTTCTGTCATAGAAATTGATTACAGAGTCACATGTAGAAATTTCCTGCCACAACATTGTGATCAAATTCATGGATAATCAAATACACAAAAGTAGACACCC